CCTTTCCTTCACCTCCCCTCTGGTTCCAGGCCACTATGACTCGGGTTCATGCCCAGTGCCTTTTGTGACCTGGGCTCTGGTCACAGGGCGGCCCCCACAGCTCAGCCTGAGTGAGTGCTGAGCCGTGACAGCCGCCCGTGGCCCCGCGGTGGTCCCGCGTGACCTCACCTGAGCCAAGCCTGCTCTTGTAGAGCGTGCCACTGATGTTCCGGCAGCGCACAGGCAGCTCGCTGTCATACACTGAGGGGTCCCAGTTGTACTTGGTGCCGCCTTTTTCTTGGCCAGGAGCCAGGGGGGTTGGAGGAGACTGAGGACCTGGGAAGAGAGAGGTAGTGGGGAGGGAGCAGCACAAGCAGAGCCCTCAGGGCACGGGACCRGGCTGCACTGCCTCCCCAGGTGTGCGCTTGTTTCAGTTAGGGACTCTACCTCCTCTGCCTGGGGAACGCCATATTTTGTACTTAGATCTACCATTTGGAATTCCAAACTTTCTACATAAAACAAAAGAACACTCCAGAGGGCCTGGGGAGCAGGTGCTGCTGGTACCTGGGGTGAGMGGAGCCGCTGGACCCTTCAGCCCAGTGGTCTCCACGATGCTGCCATCAGTGTGGACGACGATCAGCGTGGCCTTCTCGGTGTTCAGGCTGTCCCCAATCTGAAGGGCTGTCCTACCAGACTAGAGGAGAGGACACCTGCTGAGTCGGCTGAGCCCTCGGAGGCCTCTCATCTCGCTACCAGGAGGCAGCCTCCAGGAAGGCTCCTGCCATTTATCAGCAGGAAAGAGCTGCTCRTCCAGACACCCCAGATCCTTTAGAGATGACCCCAAGAGACTTAGACACAGAGCCAAGAACAAGGATAGGCCAGGGCTAAGCCWGTGTGGCCTCAGCAAAGTGTCTGCAAATCTGTCCGCTAAAGCATAAAATGCTCCGTGAAAGCAGCCCCTTTCTGAAGACCCTGCCCTCCCAGCCTCTGCCACCTGTGCCAGAAGACCTCAAACAGAAAGCACAACCATGGAAGGGCTAAGAACTTGGGCACACTTGTCATTTGGAGCAGGAATGGTTTCCCGCAGCTTGTCTTAAGAGGACGGGAGTGGCTGGGGATGTGGCTCAAGCGGTCGCGTGCTCGCCTGGCGTGCGTGCGGCCCGGGTTCGATCCTCAGCACCACATACAAACAAAGATATTGTGTCTGCCAAAAACTAAAAAATATTTAAAAACTCTCTCTCTCTCTCTCTCTCTAAAATAAATAAATAAATATTTTAAAAATCTCTCTCTCATACACTCTCTTTAAAAAAAAAAAAAAAAAAGAGGACAGGAGTGAGCATGGCAGGCAGGTGAGCTCGGAGAACAGGGCTGGGAGGCACACCGACTCTTGTGCATCTGTGGAGCCATGTGGACAAGATAAGCAAGTGGGTCAACTACCGGCCAGACTTGCCGTAGGCTGCAAGGCCTTAGGGCTTCACGCTTCCTGCAGTCAGACTTGCTGTGTACCTTCCTTTTTTGAGCAGTGAGGTGACCACAAGGCCCTCAGCTCCAATTGAGGCTCCTGGCCAACTTCACGGCAGCAYCTCCTCTCTGACCTCCCCCAGCCCAGCCGTAGGCTCCTGAGCACTGAGCTGCAGCAGGGACTTGGCAACCAGGCTGTGTGGAGCCCAGGGTGCCGGCCACAGCATGAGCCACCGGCACCAGAGAGCTTACCAGAACATGTCCCGAGATGGAGGCCGCATTTGCCACCGATGTTGTGAAGACGTTGTCTGCAGAGGCCCCCACGTTGGCCACTGTCACTGTGGTCACTTCTGCAATATGAGAAACCTCACTTTACAAACAAGGCAGGCCAAGGGTCCTTACACAGGAGCATAAGCACTCCTGCTTGGTGTGGTGGTGCTCCAGTTCTGGGACCTGGAGCACTCACAGAATGCACAGGGGACATAGCCAGTCCATGCCCAAGTCACCTGAGCTCCATGGGGAGGAAAGCACCACTCCCAGCAAGGCCTCTCCTGCCCTAGCCAGCCCCAGCTCTTCCACAACTGTCTCCCTCTGCAAAGAGGCTAATGCCACAGTCCAATCCAGTCCAGACTATCCTCCTCGGCCTTGGCCTCTGGGAATGCCTCCCACTCCAGCAACGGTGAGCAGCCTCAGGTCTGGCCTTGTCCCTCCTGGTCCCTCTGCTGCCTCAGCTCCAGCCCCAACAGGGGACCACAGCCGCACGTTCACTGCCCCTGCTGAGGTCTCCAGGCCTTCCCCAGAAATCTTCCTCCTGAGAAGCACACTGACCTGCTGTGCCCCACCCCCTCGGACAGGGAAGTCGGCCCTTCCCAGGAGCCCAGACGCACTGAAGGGCTCCACAAAGGCCTGCTGGGCCCTGCCGCTACCATCACCCAGACAGGCCACATGGCTCCTTGCCCACGCCCTCCTCACCTCTGCAGAGGCAAGTACTGCCTTCTGTTGCCTAGGGCTCTCGAATGTCCCATGCCTAGGGTACTCTCTGGCATATGGCAGATACTCAAATGATGGCTTAGTCTTCCTCCCTCCATTAGCCGCACCCACCAACCTGCACCACCACACCCATTGACCTCAGTCCCCACTATCAGGCCACCCTGAGGCAGCTAACTCATTCTCACCACTTAGCCAAAAGTAAGCTGACCACTTAAGCTGAGGACCCGAATCTGGATACAAGCCTGAAGACAGCTCAAGCAGCCATGTGCCCAGTGGTGGGCATCCTGTCTGTCTGCATCACTTACACCTGAGCATTATCTGATTTTTGCATCTCTCTCTCTCTCTCTCTCTCTCTCTCTTTAAATTTTTTTAGGTGTAAATGGACACAACACAATGCCTTTATTTTTATGTGGTGCTGAGGATCAAAACCGAGTTCCACCCATGCTAGGCAAGCACTCTACCACTGAGCCACACTCCCAGCCCCTGATTTTTGCATCTCTTAACAAAAAAAAAAAAAAAAAACTGAAATGCTCTGACACATAAAAACACAGCTATAAAATTCTGCAGAACCGCTCAGTGGTAGAGTACTTGCCTCGCACATGTGAGGCACTGGGTTCGATCCTCAACACCACATAAAAATAAATAAAGATAATGTGTCCATCTTTAAAAGAATCTTAAAATTCTGCAGAAAATCTGGGGTGTGGCTCAGTGGCAGAGCACTTGCCTGGCATGCATCGGGCCCTAGGTTGTATCAACAGCATCACTCTCTCTCTCACCCACAGAAGAAACATACAACATAGACATATTTCTCTGATATCATGATGAATGGCATCACATTTCTTTTGTACATTCAGAAAAATGTGTGCAAAGAGGGACAAAAATTTTATGGCCCAAATACCAATGCCAATCCAGAGTTCATGCTGGACAGCACCAACAAATCCATGAGGTCTCCTCAGTCTTGGGAGCAGCTTGACAAATCACTGGAGACCAGCAGCACTGGACCAGTGGAACCTGGACAGCTGGGCCCTCCCCAACCCAGAGGAGCTGAATGTCAACTAGAGCTGATCGCCACAGCTATCATGAAACCCACATAGCAGGACAGGCATTGTGTCCAAAACCTGAAGAGCTCCTCAGGATGCAAGAAGAGCAGCCAATCAGTGCTCCTCCAGGGCTTGAGCTTCACCTGCAAGTCCTGCTGGGGCACTTGGGAGCTCCAAATGGGAAGGGACCTGACTGATGCTCTACAGGGTGGGGGGTGGGGCAGGGACATGTTGACGGCAGAGAGCATCCTGGGGTTGCACTACCTCCACAGGGTGATGCTACACAGCTCAAGGCTCCTTGTGCTACAGAACCTGGGATCCAGGATGCTGTGTCAAGAAACTATGAGCGGCACAAACAAGAACTTGGCAATGCAGGAGGGGAAAGAAGATGTGTACAAGAAAGGCAGCCAGGAAGATGCCTGCCAGGTTGAGACAGGCATTGCTGTCKCTGGATGAGGACTCTCCTGATCACTCACTCTCAAAACCACACCTGAACTTGCCCTGAGCACTTGGAGCATTCCAGGCAACTGGACATGCCCACTCGTCTGGGTCTCCTCAAGGACAAAACCCATGTTTGATCATCTTATGCCACCAGCTTCCAGGATGGACCAAGAGAGGGCAGAAAGGGCAGGAGGCAGGTGTTGAGAAGGTTCCAGAAGGGGCACAAAATGAAGAACAACAGTGACACACATGGAAACAGGCATGCACGAAAAGCAGGGCCAGGACGGTGGAGGAAGGCAGGCGGACAGGGCACCTGCACCAGGCAGGTGCTCCTAGGCCTGCAGCCTGGGGCAGGTGTTCGGGAAAGGTGCTCGGGGCAGGTGCTCGGAAACCAGCGAGGCGCGGGAACTGGCGAGGCGCGAGGCCAGCGGGCGCGGGCGCGGGCGCACTTGCCTGCGAAGGCAGCGGCGGCGGCGGCGGCCTCGTCGGGGCCAGGCAGGGCCTCGGCGCCCATGTCCATGTGCCCGGGCTCGGCTGCCATCACCGCCACAGCCGTGACCCGCCGCGTCTCGCGTTCCGCCTCCGAGTCCGCGTCCTCCTCCGAGTCCTCGTCCCTGCTCAGAACCGGCTCCTCCGCCTCGCCTCCCGCCGCGGCCGCGGCCGCCGCCGCCACAGCGGCCGCGGCCGCCACCGCCGCCGCCTCGGCCAGGCCCAGCTGCTTTGCCGCCGAGTCCGAGTCCTCCATCCGGACTCCGCCGAGCCCGCCCGAAGGCGCCGAGCGGGGCCGCCCGAAGCGCCGGGCGCCGAGCCCGAAGTGGGGGCCGAAGAGTCCGCCCGAGCCGGGCCGAGGCCGCCCGAAGTCGCCGCCCGAGCCGGGGCCGAAGAGGAGCCCAGCCGCGGCCCAGCCCGAGCCGAGCCGAGCCGAGCCGAGCCGACGCCCAGAGTCTGAAACCGAGGAGGGTCGAAGCTGCCCGAAGTGTGGACCCGAGTCGGCCCGAAGGGCTCCGAGGCCGCACGAGAGTTCCCGAGCGCGCTCTCCCCACGGCCCCGGGGCCTGAGCCGCAGTCGCGGCCGGCCGGCGAGCTCGGCTGGCTCCGGGCTGACTCTCGCCGGCCTCCGCTGCAGCTCGGACTCGCGGAGGGCGCCTCGCGGCCCCGGCTCCGTCCGCCTCCGGAAGCCGAGCCGGCCCGAGGACGAGCCGAGGTCCGCCGAGCGCGCCCGAGCCCGAATCCGCCGAACCTCTGTGCCCGCCTCCTCCTGTCCGAAAGCTCCCGAGCGCTGCCGGACGGGCGACTCGGGCTCGGCCGCAGTCGGACGCTCGCTCCTGGGGACGGCGGGAGGAGCGAAGATGGCGGGAGGGCGCGGCCCGTGGGCTGCCGGGATCGCGGCGGACCCGGCGGCAAGATGGCGGCCGCGCGCCCAGGTGAGGCGGGCGGGGCTGCGGCCGCGCCTCGTCGCTGTAGTGGCACCGCAGTCACGCAGGGCCCTGCGGGCTGGCCTGGTGCCTCCGCCGCCCCGCATCTGGCTGCCGGGCCCGGCGGCCGCGGGCCTCTCGGTCCGGATTCCTGATGCTGACCCCAGCGGAGCCTCCGTGGTGGTGCGAGATGGGGCGGGGACAGTGTGGTCCCCCTCGCTTGGGGCACACCCCGGGGCACACTCCAGCACCCCCACTCAGCCCCGGGCACACCTGCGGCTCACCCCAGCACCCCCATCACACCCGGGCACACCTGCAGCTCACCCAGCACCCCCCCCAAACGCACCTGCAGCTCACTCCAGCACCCCCAGTCACACCTGGGCACACCTGCAGCTCACCCA